TGATGAAGTCAGAGTGGACTTCTTAAATTTCTAATAAGCCTCATATTCGTCTGGAGGCAGCACAACTGGAACTTGCGGGATTTGAGCAACATTGACAGAGCTTGAAGGTTTACCATGTAACTTCCAACACCTATCTTTAGTATGACCCATCCTATGACAAAAATCACACTTGGGGCAATTACGTCGTGGATATCCTTTTTGATTTCCCCCATCATGCCCTGAACCTTGAGATGCAAGAATAATAGAATCACTTGAGGATGCGTCAGCAGATATTGGGGCGGCTCGAAGAATTCTGGCAAAGGCTTCAAACATTGTAGGAACAGAAGAACGGGAGAGAATTTGCTCACGTATTGATAACATCTCTGGGCGAAGACCTGCTAAGGTTAAAACCATAACAAGTTGTTGTCTTTGCTCGAGTTGTTTCTCCTTATCTTCAGTGATAGGTTGAATATTATTATATTCAAACACTAATGCCTCAGCCCGTCCTAGAAATTCTTGAACGTCCAAATCCTGTTGTTTGAGCGTAGCAATTTTGGAACCAAAGGAAAACAGATTTTGGATGCCATTTGTGTAGTTGGCTTTAGCTTTTTCCCAAATCTGTTTGCAAGTGCGGTATGATTGATAGGTAGGATGCAGTTTTGGATCCAAAGATTGCCATAACACGTTACACAATAAGGCATCCATATTCTCCCATTCACTCCACTTGTCTTTGATCATATTTGCATCGACATTCAAGTGATCAATTTGACCTTGTCCTTTGAACCACATCTCCACAGAAATAGCCCATGATTGATAATTAATACTTCCAGCTAGTCGATCGGTGGTGATGATTGGAACTGAAGCAAATGAAGAGAAACTTGACATTTTTTTTTGGATTTTTTTTTTGATTTTTTTTTAAAGATAACAGAAACACTTTCAATCTGAAGTAGTACCACAGTAATTAAACATCAAGTAGTGCAGACATATGCAAACATACGGAAATACTTCCCAAGGCAACAAACGGAAATAGCCAAGGCAACAAACGGAAATATCAGTAGCAACTGCCCAAGGCAGCAACACAGCAGCGGAAATACGGAACAACAGCCTGGGAAGATACGACCTTGGGCGCAGAGGTAAAGAAAAACTGACCTTGGGCGTAGCAAAACAGTGGCAGTGGCAGGCGGACCGAGCGGCGGCAGGTGGACCGAGTGGCAGCAGGTACGACCAGCAGGCGGACCAAGCGGCGGCGGCGGTACGACCGGTCTGGGCGGCGCGTGAGTTTGGCGGCGGCGCGTGAGATCTGCGGCGGCGCGTAGATAGCCTGGGAGTACCGGACTGACTGTTCTAGGTCATCAGGGACCTAGGTGTCTGAAAATACCGTCGGTGTCGCTCGCAGATGAGTAAAACGGAGTAGATCTGCAAAATACTTCAGAAAACCGTAGGTAGAGTGGCGGCGCGTGAATGCTTCCGAGCTGGTACGGTTTCCGGCGGGATGGTCGCGACGGTGCGCTGAGCAAGGCGGTAGGTGTAGATTTGATATATCACTACCGGAAGTGCTCCAATGCCTAGCGCGGCTACTGTACACGCCAGAAATACTCGCCGGAAAAATAATGTGTCCTAACTACGGTGTGCCATATAAATGGCTCTGATACCATGTGAAATATATAAAGTGTATTTCATTATATTGAATCTTGATATTAAGAACTATACAAGTAGCTAAAACTAGAGCACTAGGGTTACTATACAAGATGGGCTAAGCCCAATACAACTAGGGTTTCAACAGGGCCCAAGTCCGGTCCCGCCCCATGCTCTTCCCGGTCTCTATCAAAAGTTGAAGTACTCCTCCCACCTTGCGTAAAGTTGGGTACTGGCTTTTCTTTTACAAAATTCTGCACTATTATTTCTCTTTAAGAGAAAAAAAAAACAGAAAAGAAAATCAGAAAAATGAGCTCTAGGATTTTACGTGTCTCTGTTTTTATTTATTTTGTCCCGCTGATGAGTATGATTTATATTGTGTCTTCGCGGACAAATCAGTTCAACATATTGAAGTTTTAAAGTTATATAGGATGGAACATGAAAAACATGCTTTAGTATACTTTTGTTCCGTCCAGGATGCAATTGCTTCAAAACTGGATTTCTATGGGAAAAATATTCACGAGGTTCCGTCACCGGAAGATGAATTATCCCAACTTCGGAATATAGCTACTCTAGATGAGTATATTAGTGAGTTTCAGTGTTTATTGGCACACACAAAGGGCTTACCTTCACAGACTCAAGTGGACTTCTTTGAAGCAAGACTTCAACATGACATTCCGGCAATCAGTTTGGTAAAAGCTATTGAGTGAAGGCAACACTCACAATATGATTGTCTATCTCCGGAAACAACAGCCCCGGTGGCGACATTGCTGGAAGCTCCTCCACCAAAATGTCAATTTTTTCTGATCGTCAACATCTCCACTGTTCCCACAACCGTTGTTGGATAAGCAGTCAATGTTATCCACACAGCCGCTAATTTTGTCACTGCCAACACCGCAAGTTTGGTCGCAACAAGTCAATCTATCACTGTTAACTCTTGTTGTCACCCGTGGAGCTAACACCACCAGTGTTGGCACATTCACCCTTCCCTCCTGCACATTTACTGCCCACAACCAAGTTGCAAGAAATAATATTGGACCTTTCTACCAAGAGGAGATTTTGATGAATCTGGCCAGATATTAGGACATTGGTCATTACTCATAGTCATGCGGCTACAACCAACATGGTGATGATTTATCATATAATAATGTCATTTATCGTGGAAAGATTGGTTGTCATGGGTTATTAGCTTCAAGCTTGAGGACAAGCATGATGTTCAAGAGGGGAGTAATGATATGGAAAGAAGAAGCCCATTATTACTATCATCATTATTATTCATTATTATTATTAGTTTCCTAAAGTAAGTTTCCTAAGTATTAGTGTCAGTTCCCTAAGGTTATTATTAGTTTCAGTTTCCTATTAATAGAGATATTCTATTTTAGTTAATTTCTGAATAAAAGTATTTTAATAGAATTAGGGTTACTTAAATACTAGACCACCAAGACTCTTGGGATTAGTATAAAGAGAGGTACCATATCAATGAATAAGATCATTAATCTTCTCGAGAAGTAATTCTTCTTGTGCGCTCGATGGAACCGACAGACACTTCCCTGCCTAGGGCGGGAAGCTGTGTTGTTTTTCCAACTATCATACTTATCGTTCTTCTTCTTTTCATCACCCAACAACGCCTGTAACACTCTTTTTAACATTGTTAATGTTTGACAAGCAAAGCAGGATTGGAGGGAATGCAATATTCATGTCCTAGGAGTACCCATGGACTAAAGTACTAAACCTTCCTTGGCCCGGAAAGTAACCAATCATGTTGAACCCAGATGCAGTGTAATTTAATAAAATGAATCTTAATCCAAGTCAATGCAAGCGAAGCAGGGCAGCTGTGCATGTTAATATGACTTCCATTTAATTTACAAAAACAGGACGATGTTCGAAAATTAGGGCAAATACTCGAAAATGACTATGAAATCTCGACTGACCATGATCTCTTCTAATATCCGATTAAGCGCATAAACTATCTTACTATATAAAGTAATTCATTAATTGAATTTTCAAAATTTTCCTAATCAACATTATACAAGTTCCAACGTCCAGATGCCACAACGAGATTATGTGCATGAAGATGGTTGTAACCAAAGGAATTACCACCAGATATACAGCTAAAAAATACGCAGTACATGATATAGAGGATCATTAATGGGTCAGTTTAATTAGTTTAAGGGCTAAATGGGATGTTTGTAGAATTTAGTAGGGCTAGCATTTTGGACCGGAAACCGAACCAAAAAAAATCAAACTGTGATTTGGGACCTGAAAATTAGGGTCCGCAAAAAAACATGATTTGAATTTGGTTCATGTACTCAAAAAATCGGTTTGAGCTGAACCGAACTGAAATTTTAATTTAATAATTATACTAATAAAAATTATTAGTTATCATTATTATAGTACTGAGTAGTTTAGCGTACTGTAGAATAAACTTTTAACAGTGTCAGTATTAAATAAAAACTGTAGAGATAATATATGAGAGGTTTGAACTTCAAATAAAATGCAACAGCCATGTTGGTGAGACGGAAGTGGAGCGCGTATGTTTTCTTTAACGTCTCGAGTTCGATTCCCAGGGCATTTTTTTCAAATAGTGTTTTAAAAATACGTTATCCCACACCGGATGAAGAGAGGTGCTCCTTCAAGCTTTTCTATATAAGCCTTCAAAGGCATTCAATATTCTTGCAGTTTACGTACCCAACTACCATCATCACTGCTTGGGCTTGATAATGTTACCGGTCAGGCTTGGTGCGATAAGGTTATGGGCTTCGACAGCTCAGACTGGTATTGCTTCAGCATTGGAGCGATGAGTATTACTTATTAAAATATTTAATTTTTATAGACATTCGGTTTATAAGTTTTTGGGCTAACCGACCCAAAAATCGGTTACCAAAAAATTGGTACCCGTTCCACTAACGTTTTGGGTAACCGATATGTCATTTCAGTCCTAAGTTGGAGTGTTGGACTGTATCAGTTCGGGACTCGAACTGAACCCAGCCCTAGAGTTTAGGATCATTTTTTTTTTGTGAAACTGCTCATGTCAGTTCGGTCCTAAGTTGTACTATGTTCAGTTTGCAACTTGATTCCAAAAGCAGCAAAATCATTTAATAGCATGCAAGCTTAAAAGGCAAACCACTAAAAGGGTAGCCCAATGCACGAAGGCATCCCTGCAAGGTGAGACTCCGAGAAAGGGTCCCACCCACAAGGGTGTACAAGGGGCAAGCCTTCCCCTGTCAATTTTTTTTACAAGAGGCCTCTCCTAAGACTTGAACCCGTGACCTTTCGGTCACTCAAAACACCTTAATCGGTATGCCAAGACTCCCCTTCTTCACAGGCAAACCACTAATAGCTAGAAAACCCAATTCAGTGGATATGAAAGAAGACAAACATCGTACCGTATTCAGAATCTCTGGGACCCTTGACTCTTTCATAGCGTCAGTAGCATTTCTCGAAAGAGCCTGCCATTAATTTTATTACAAATAAAAAAAATATTTGCATCTTCAAAATGAAAGCAAAATTAAACATGAAAGATTTCAGAAACGATTGTGTTGGTTGGGGAGGGGAGAATATTGGTTCCTTGAGGTAAACCAACTCTGGTGCCACTTACTATTCTGAAGTTTTCAACAGAGATACACCCTTCTTTATTAGGTTCCAACAGCATAAACTGTGCTCTCAGGTAAACTAGTTCATCATCTGTTAATGCCCTCGATAGAGCCTGAAACCATGAACACATAACAACACAAATCACACCTAGTAATATACTCATAATTATTCAGAGTTGCTCCGGTTCTCTTCTCTAAACATCATCATCATTTTCATTTACCCCAGTGCCGCAAAGGCTCCCGCCTACGGTGGGGTAAGGGGGGGTCAGATGTACGCAGTCTTACCCCTGTACTAAAGCACAGAGAGACTGTTTCCGGATGACTCATAGTGAAAATCGTGTCCAAAATTGCATGGACTGACTGCTGCTCCATAACAAAGAAGCGCAGACAGTTTAGTGAGCCATTTTCACATTTTGCTTTATTCCATCATAATCTCAAGCCAAAAAAAATGAATCTTTGGCTCCATTGCAAATGATGGAAAAAGGAAACGAAATATACTACGATTAGCTCAATATGTACAATTTTCAATAGATAAAGTTCATGCTTTAAGAACTTTCTGAATCATTGTACAAATGTACATAATTTAGGTCAAGATAAAAAATCGGATAAAGGATATAGAGGCTATACAAGGGCACATATTTTAATGGCTGTTCAGCAAAATTGATCATTTTTCTTTTTAGTGAAATGGAAAATGGAATTTGTGTTAAAGTTCAAATTTTCTCCAAATGGGAAGTTCAAGAGGATCCTCCATTTTTTTCAACTTTCTGCTAAGAAATTTGGCAAAAATATCCAATTGGAATATATGCGTGAATAGTTCTGTGTGCTTTAAGCAAGCCAGCTCAGTTTCTGGTTTTCAAATTTTTATTGGGGATGGAAATTTAAGGAAATGAAAGTTGAGAGTGATGAGAAAATTGTCGTAGTAAACACATACTTCGTGAAATGGTTCAAGCATGGGCGTTGCCAAGAGCAACAAGTTCTAGTTGGTAAGGATTAACACTTGCTTTCTAGGATTAATGGTACTCGGGGGCCCTTTACTTTTCTGTACAAGGCCCTTGCACTTTCGAAAAAAATACCTCATGAACTAGCAGTTGAGAATTTAATATCATGATCAAAATAAAACAATGTGAATACTCTTTTTACAAAAAACTGCTAAAGAGGGTACCAAACAAGTAGTGCCCCCCTGACGCAATAGGAAACAAATGCATATCCATATATGCACCGTACCTTTAATGCTGCACGTTTGAGAGGCGTGGCATTTAGATAGCTCTTGACCAATTTATAGACCAATATATCTAGAGGAATAGGATGGCTTTCACTCCGCAGCCACGGATGCACTGCAATTTTGAAATTGTAAAAGAACACACAACATCATTTATATACTCTAGTGACTTCCTCCTGTAGCCCTGTGGGAGTAAACCACTGCTATAAAAGTAATACTACCTCCATCCTATAATGTATGATATACTTGGGTTTGGCACAAATTTTAAGAAAATAAAGGAGAAGGGTTGTTATTTTACAACTCTAACCTCAAAAAGTAAGAAAAAGTAGGATGGGTCCACAAAAAGTAAAAGCTAAAATGATGGATAAAGGGATAAAGTGGGAAAGCAAAACGTTAGTGAGGTTTACTATAGGAAAGTGATCGTATTTTTGGGACAACCCAATAAGGAAAGTGTATCTTATAAAATGGGACGGAGGGAGTGATAGGGACCTACCTATTAGATTAATAATAGAAAGAATCATAATAATAGTTGTAATAAGGGCTTAGGCAGTATTATAGTATAAATAGATGTAGAGGGAAGGTAGTAAGGAGGCTTTTGGACTCTTTGTCTTGGGACTTGGGAAGACCGAGACTAATAATCTCTTTCTTTGGGAGCTTCGGCTTTTGGGGGCTTCGGCCATAGTTTCTTGTACCTGTTCTTAATCAATAAAGTTTCAGATTGTTTGTTTGATACTTTCAGAGAATTAACTGTACATTTGAGTTGGTTCTAACATTGGTATCAGAGCTGTTACATCCTGGAGACAAAGAATCTGAATCATGGAGGAGGATTTCTACCTGACACCGCAAATGGAAAAGAGTTTTGATAATATTGACCGAATTACGAGGGAGACACAAGCGAGTATGGTCGCGTCGCAAGAAAAGATGAAGACGATGATGGCCGCTATGCAAGAGGCGATGCAAGCTAGCGTCGCAGATTTGCAGAACCGACTTCAAAGTCGTTCGCGACATACATCGCACCATTCGCACCGATCTTCGCATCGCTCATCCCACCATAACTCTTCCCATCGCTCGTCGTATAGCTCTTCTCGTCGGACTTCGCATCATCAGTCGCGAAGGTCATCCAATCCAGATGGATCGGAAGAGAATTTTGACTACTCTCATACGCATCCCAAATCTCATCATCGGCATACGCGACTTTCGACTGACTCAAAGGAGTTAGAAGAGCAGAGACATCGCAGAAAATCTGGAGACCGATCGAGGACGACTAGGTATCTTCCGCTACCTGACAAACACAGTCCATCGTCATCGCTTATAAGTTCGCAAACTGAATCGCAAATGAAAGCGCGAACTGTTCCTTTTAGTTCGCAATCGCGAACTTCTTTTCATATTTCGCAATCGCGAACTGTTTCTCGCCATTCGCAGAATTCCTCTCCGGACCTCAGTTCGTGTCCAAGAAAGTCACCAATCGATTTTCACTATTTCCCTTCCTCTTCTCAAGTCGTTTCTCTGTGTTCGCCAGTTTTATCGCAAGATGGTTTTGTCCCTGAGCAAGAAATTCTACCGTCCATAGAGGAGATTGAGAGGGAACCAATTGAATCTGGAATCAAGAAAACGAATAAGGAGGGCGAAATCGAGGAGCAAACTACAGTTGTAGGTGTCTTAAAGTCGAAAACGGTTCTTCCGGTTAAACAACCGCCAGATTATGCTTCTCCTAATATTGAAATTGATATGGATTTAACTCCCAGTCGAGTTTCTATTGCTGACCTGCTTATCCACCCATGTTTCTTTGGAAGTAGAGTCTTAACTGCTTATGAAATTGGAGCACTTAAATCAAGAACGTTTCAGATGACAAAGCTGTTCTGATCAAAAGTCAAGAACCTAGACAACCCAGGGAAATGTTTTCAGAATATTCAGGCATTGATAAAAGGAAATCTGGTCCAGAGGCTCAGGAGGATCATGTGGATCTTTTTTTAGGAGAATTTGCTATTATGTTTGGAAACCGTAAACCGTTTCCTGAAGATGAGAAGTCTAACCATTCCCAGCACTTTGATAGTAGTTCCCTGCAACTCACAACAGTAATTGTTAAAGACTTATCAGGATTAAAAGAAGCAGAATTGCAGCATATTGTTGATAGCATGATAAACTACCACAAGCTTGGCTTACATAATCCATTGAAAGCATTAGGAGGATATCTAAAATTGGGAGACATCACTGCAAAGACTGTTCTTAGCCTATCACTTACTGATGTTTTTGACATCTTAACAAGAGTGTTACAGAAGATGGCTCTTAAGAGTTCTCAGCAAGCTCTAGGCGAAGTTGTAGCACCAAAATTTTTAGAAATACTCTATGGTAATCAGGTTCATTTTCTGGCAAGATCTTCTGAAGTGTCAGGAAGTTATTTGGGACAGAACTGCCCTGATTTGTGGACTTATGGTCCTTTGGAAATTGTTACTTACTTTAAATTTGCATTGGATATTCCTGCATTTCAGATGATGGGTGCATTACTCAAGGAAAATATGCATGTTCTTAAAGAAGACATCCGGTTATGCAGTGTAATGGGACAAATGCTACTTCTGTTTCATGATGGGGGAATACCATTGGAGATTGTTGAAGTCTTAAATTCAAAAAGAGGAACACAGTATGACACAAGTTTTCATAAACTTTCTTATGACATGTGTGTGGATGAATTTCTGTACGAGCTATTCAATGAGAAGTTTCACTCAAGAGATAGGATGGAGTCTGAGGGACATGCAATGCTGAGCATGGTCAAGAGCTTCTCATCTAGAGGACTAGAAGTCTGGGAACTTCTTATACCACCATCAGCGAGGTACTGGGAGGGAAGAGGCACCAGGAGGAAGCGGAATTCCAGACTTGGTTCCTATCTTCCCACCTTGAGGGCAAGGTGGATTCTCAAAGGGGGGAGTATTGATAGGGATCTACCTATTAGATTAATAATAGAAAGAATCATAATAATAGTTGTAATAAGGGCTTAGGCAGTATTATAGTATAAATAGATGTCGAGGGAAGGTAGTAAGGAGCCTTTTGGACTCTTTGTCTTGGGACTTGGGAAGACTGAGACTAATAATCTCTTTCTTTGGGAGCTTCGGCTTTTGGGGGCTTCGGCCATAGTTTCTTGTACCTGTTCTTAATCAATAAAGTTTCAGATTGTTTGTTTGATACTTTCAGAGAATTAACTGTACATTTGAGTTGGTTCTAACATTGGTATCAGATGATGGGGGAGGATCAACTAGCAAATGTACTATTTGCTGAAATACCGGTTCTTAATCTGAAATACCGGTTCTAACATTATGCATTAAGTAAAGTTAGAGTTTCCTAGTTAAGACTTCTAACTAGCAAACTCTAATTTTAGTTATTGCATATTAATTTGAAAGAGACCTTGGCGCACCAGTTAAGGTGTTGTGGTGTGGCTGAGAGGTCACAGGTTCAAGTCATGAGAGCGGTCTCTTGTCAAAATTTGACAAAATTTGACAGGGGGAGGCTTGCTCCTTATACACCCTTGTGGTGGGACCCTTCCCCGGCCCCTCACCTTGCGGGGATGCCTTCGTGCACCGGCTACCCTTTTTTTAGAGTTTGCTAGTTAAGACTTCATATTTCCTCCTGCTTCTTAAGGAGTTACCATGTTCTTAACTTTGATCTAGGGAACTTACACGAGTAAAACCATTTTAACATTAATGGACCTTTAATGCAATAGCAAAAAACTGACAATAAGACGAAGTATGAAGAAAATCACACTAAATGAGCTAATGTTGACTTACTCAAAGCTTGGGCAGCAGTCATTCTTTTCCTATAGTCCTTGTTAAGAAGCCTTTTAACAAAGTCCTTGGCTTCTTGGGAGACAGAAGGCCATGGCAAATCTTCAAAGTTGGGGTCTGCTCGTAGGACTGCACGAAAAATTCCAGATTCTGTCCTTGCCCAGAATGGTCTGCTTCCACATAAAAGAATATAAGTAATCACTCCAATACTCCATATATCTGCATCCAAACTGTACGATCTGTGGAGCACTTCTGGCGCCACATAATATGCACTTCCAACAATATCATTAAGTCTTTCATCTACAAAATTCCAAAATGCAAGGAGAAAACAAATTAAAATTCATGCAAAAAGTAGCTAAACATCCTTATGCGTCAAACTTAAAGCAAAAGGAATATAAGATTCTGAACAGCATTGTAATGCAAAGGTGTGGCTACAATTGCCAAAAAAACTGAAAATTTCAAATCAGTCTGCACAATCGTTTTCCCTGAGTAAATATCACTTCATAGAAATCTAACAAAAAGGGGAAAGACAAAAAAGAATGAAGTCTCTAGTAATACCTTCACAAAGAATTAAATCACAGTAGCAAGTACAGCATACAATATTTGTAATAGGAAATGTGTTAATGGACAAAGGTAAATGACTGGTTTTAGTGACAATAAATATATTATTGTGTAGTGCATACATGCCGGTACCTGGTCTAATGAAGTCAGAAAGACCAAAATCAATTAGCTTCATATCAGCATCTTCATTTCTAGACGTGAACAAAAAGTTCTGCAATAGAACCAATTGAAGATCATTAGTAACGCATGGTACCCAGAGAGTAAATTTGGTACATTCTGGTAAAAAATTGAAACTAATATTACAAGTAAACAACCTCAGGCTTCAAGTCGCGGTGAACAACTCCTTGTAGATGACAGAATGCAACTACACTCAGAATTTGTACAACAATAAGCTTTGCATCATCTTCCGGGTATCTACCACCCCTGAAAGGGAAAAGTAAACACTTTTTATTCAAAAAATATAATGCAAATTATCACATGAACCTTATCCTAACGCATTTCATTTACCGCGACAATATTCTGTCAAGTAATTCTCCTCCTTCACATAACCTGTGACATGCAAAAGAAAAAACTGATGAGCAAATTCTGCATACTACCTAATCACGAGAAAATGAATATCAATAAAAAGGATTATATGTGTGCACTGGATGTGATGAAGCATATGCTACCAAATCATATACTTCCTTTTTTCCTAATTCATATATATCATTTTATCTAAGTATCTACTTTAGTATAGGGGTAAGGTTGCGTACATCCGACCCCCCTTACCCCACTGTAAGTGGGAGCCTTTGCGGCACTGGGGTGATGATGATGATGATCTGTTTCTATCTTCACGTACCCCCAAACTCTTTTGGGATTAAGGGTTGGATGTTGTTGTCTTTGTCTTCATAAACCAAAACACACATTTTAAGTAAATGCACTGCAGTGATAAATTAGTCAAAAAATTACTTTATGTGGATAGATTTCATAAAAGGAACAAAAAAAAATTGTTAATCAAGATAGATATTAGGAATGTGCGGGGCAGATAATTATATGTTTGCATAATGTGTATATCACAAAACATTCTACTTTGAACATATTAAAAAAATAAAAAAAATAGAGCACACACATGAATTAGTTAAATCAAATCAAAGGTAAGCATCATACTCTCCATTTAACCAATTTACACTGCAACCGAGAGTAATACATGTGTGGGCCTTGTGGCTGTGGGAGGTTTACGAAGTACAAGCAATATCAATGTGAGCAGAACAGGAACAGGGCATGGATAATAGAGAGGGGAAATGAAGTACATACTCCATGACAATGTAAACATTATTGGCATCCTCACAGGCATCATAAAATCTGACGAGATGTCTATGGCCTGAGAGAGATTTTAAAATCCTTACTTCTCTACGAACATCTTCAATAGATATTGCTGTTGTCATCTGTGAAACAAATTGTGATGTAATTATGCTAACGAAAATAGATGTTAAGAGCTTAAGATGGGAAATGAAGCTAGAAAATACGATTTTGTAATATAAAAATACTATGGCAAGAACACTATGAAAGAGCCAAGTGAAGAAGAGATGGGCTGAATAACCGATCCGGTAATAGTCTGGTATTTCATCATTATATGAATCGAATGTGTCTTCCATTACAAAATAATGCTCAGAAAAACAATTTCAGTCTGTGTGCCTTCCACAACAAGATCATGACAAAGATTGAAATTCATACTTACCATCACAATCCGTTTTTAAGATGTTTTAATAATTCCATATAAGAAGGAAAGATTCCCCTATAGTTGGTAAAGATTAAGAAATCTCAAATGACTTAAAATACTGATACTTTATACAGGCAACATATTCTAGTCTTCTAGGTGAGAACATTCTGAGGTCTGTCTGATGAAATCTATAAAGTAGATACGAACAAAAATCCAAATCTCTTTCCTAAACTCCCCCCTCCCATGCCAATGGTGATGTGAATCAAGGTCAAGGGAGCAAGCCCAAGAGACAAAGAGAGCACGTTATAGCAAATACAGGTTACTTGTTATTGATCACATTGATGTAATACACGTCTGGCATGGCAAACTGCAAATTTAAACCAGTTCAATCTTCAATGGCAATAAACATCTAAATGGTCTTTTAGGTGCAAAAGTTGGGCGGCTACAAATTTAATTTGTATCGAAGCAATATTACATATTATGATATTAACCTAACCTTCTTAGATCTGTACTGCTCCCTCAATCCCATTTTATTTAAAAAAAAAAAGGATACTCAATGCCAAAGGTACACAATGGGGGGCAGAGGAAGGGCATGATCTCAGAAACATGTCCCTTCTTTTTTGCAAGGAGAAGGATCCAAACCCTTGACCTCGCGTGTCATAAGGCCTCTACGTTACATGTTTATTGATTTCTTATCATTTTCGAAACTAGCTTTGATGTGTGATATAAACTTTAGTGTTGTTTGAATTATATCGGTTTCATTCAATATATTAAGCTAACTATTTTACTTTAGTAAAGGCTCGCTGTTTTGTTTAAGTTTTACATTGAGGAAGAAAGAGATTACAATATTAAAAAAATCAATACAAAAAACCTCATCTTGGAGATGAACCTTGGTGGCACATTTGCACTTAGTAACAAACTAACAACATATTCTACAAATGCAATGTGATTGTGTAATGAATGAATTTAAAACAAGTCATGTTTCCTTTTTCTCTCAGTTTCATATGCATCGACTTGAATGTCCCGAAGTAGTATTGTGAGCCTACTTAATCAGCAGCATACTGAGGTCTGAAGTGTGAACCAGAAGCATAAAGAACAAAACCAACAAACTGTAAGTGGAGGCAGATTCTTTCTTATGTTTACTGCATAGTTACATTCAAAACAAATAGGGGTTGTATTGACATGTTTGTGTTTTATTATGGCTTTATCCTAAGGACATTTCAAAATTGTATACAAGGGGGGGAAGAAACAGAAATTAAATAAAAGGAAAAGGGGAGAACAACTAATGGGCTGAGCTGGGTAAGGAAGTGGAGGGAATAAATAGAGGGGGGGGGGGGGGGGGGATAAAGTTAGGCAGTCTGTTAGAAGTTTGGAGACCAAGGCACTCTCAAATTGCCTGATTTGTATTCTTCCCCTGCATTTTGTCTCAGACTTTGCACCTTTGACCTGTGATCCTGTTATCTTATTTGATCCTTGGTTTACTATTGTGGACTGTTATTTGTGTTCCTATCAAGTTGGACTTATTACTGGCACCACGTGGGTGGGAAGGACGCAAAACAGAAGGCAACTGAGGCAAGGTTGACAGAGGAAGTCAAACACGGTGGCTGAGTTGGGGCTCAATCATATTTTTCCCATTTTATGCATACTTCCTAATTGTATTTCAGTATGGCTTTTATTTCCAAGATGTATTAACTTTACAACACAATGTTTCGTTTTTGTTTTAGGGCTCTTCTAAAAGCTAAATAAGGCCCTTTAGTATGAAATAATAAACTACTTTGAGATAATTAATTCTTATGTGTCTTGGCAGGGTGCTAGACGCCGATTAATTCAACATGAGCCATAGATCTGAAAGACACACACCTGCCCAACACTTTGGTTGTGTTCCGCAAGACCTTTGCAATATCTTACAAAGGCCCTCTTACAATTTAGTATCAGCAATAGTCAAAACGGGGACCAATTTGAACACAACAAAATGGTGTAAGATTTCACAGTTAAGTGTGCATATTCTGACATCGCCCAAGGTCTAAGATGAGGACGAAAGAACAGGTCATGTGTGTATAAAATCTATATATATATATAGGACAATGTTCATGTAAGGTAGGCCTAAAAGTTGCAATTTTTAGGCCTCTTTCATTTGAGGTGCTTCCGGGTTGAGTTTTTTTATGATATTTTTTGACCATATTCTCCATGAAGTGTAGGTTATGTCCACCAAATTTCAGATAAAAATTCAATCGAGAAGTCAGCTAATTAAATTATTGAAAAAACTGCCCAATTTTCAAAATTTTATTTAAGTGACTTACCTATTGAATTTTAAGCTGAAATTTGATATACATAATATACACTTCATGGAGAACATGCTCACAAAATTTCATCAAAAAATAGTCTTGGGAGCACCTCAACTGAAAGAGGCCTAAAATTGTAACTTTTGGGTCTACCTTACATGAATAATTTCCCCTCTCTATATATATACATACATATATATACATATATAGATAAGAGATCAAATACAAACCATGCTTAAAATACTAACCTACAAACTCAATAATATGCATCACTTTGAACTTCAATATGCAGTAAAAATAATGTAAAAATGCAGGGGTGAGATCACATACAAACTAGTCCTCCCATTCAAATCATCTTTACATTATTTGTGTTGGACATTGAAGTTCAAACTGGTTCATATTATTCAAGCCATAAAATAGCAGTTTCGTATTTACATTATTTGTATTGCATATTGAAATTCAAAGTGGTGGAGGCTTGAGGGAGATCTTCAACAAAGCTTTACACACAAAATGGTCGGTGAAGATGTATGGCGTATTGATAATGAAACACATGTGGATGATGTGTGGTTATCAATGGAGTTGACCATTAACAAAGTGGCAAAGGAGGTACTTGGAGAATCTAAAGGATGTCTGCCACCTAAAAAGGACACATCTTGGTGGAATGATGAGGTGAAACAATCCATAAGGAACAAAAGAGATTGCTACAAAAAGTTGGGGACAAATTGGAGTGATGAGAACATAGAAGCATACAGGGAGGCTAAAAGACAAGCAAAGAAAGCCGTAAGGGAAGCACGAGGGAAAGTGAACAAGGAGTTGTATGAAAAGTTGGATTCTAAGGAAGGAGAACTAGATATTTATAGACTTGCTCGTCTTCGTGATCGCAGAACTCAAGATATTGCAAAAGTTAAGTGTGTGAAGGATGTTGATCAGAGGATATTAATGGACGACGGAGAGATAAAAGAAAGGTGGAGGTCATACTTTGATACACTATTCAACGGGAACAAAACGCAAGATATCGGCGATTTGTACATACTAGATTGTATGGTAAACCGTGATTTTGTGAGAAGGATCCAAACAACGGAAGTTAAAGAAGCTCTGAGGAAGATGGGACGGAAAAGAGCAATGGGGCCAGATGGCATACCGATCGAGGCTTAGAGAAGTTTGGGAGAGAGAGACGTCGAGTGGTTAACAAGTTTCTTCAACATGATTTGGAGAAACAACAAGATGCCAACGAGTTGGAGGAAGAGTACTCTTATCCCCTTATTTAAGAATAAAGGTGATGTACAAGAATGTGCCAACTATCGAGGGATTAAGCTTATGAGTCACACCATGAAACTTTGGGAGCGAGTGATTGAGCAAAGACTTCGAAGGACTGTGAAGATTTCAGAAAATCAATTCGGTTTTATGCCTGGTCGCTCAACAACTGAGGCCATTCACCTTCTTCGACAACTTATGGAGAAGTATAGAGATGCTCATAAGGATCTGCATTTGGTGTTCATTGACTTAGAAAAGGCATATGATAGGGTACCTCGAGAAGTTCTTTGGTGGGCCTTAACTAGGAAAGGCATATCACGCAAGTATATCAGCATCATCATGGATATGTATGAGGATTGTACTACAAGTGTTCGTACTAGTGTAGGGAGGACTGAAGAGTTCCCTATTACTATCGGAGTGCACCAAGGATCGGCCTTGAGTCCTTTCTTATTTGCCATAGTCATGGATGAACTTACGAAGTCAATTCAAGATGATATACCGTGGTGCATGATGTTTGCCGACGATATTGTATTGATTGATGAGACGCAATCAGGTCTTAAAGCAAAGTTGGAAGTATGGCGACAAACATTGGAGAATAAGGGTTTCAAACTAAGTCGGAGCAAGACAGAGTACATGGAGTGCAAGTTTGGTGGAGGTAGAAGTAGTGGTAATAGCGGAATTACTCTGGATGGTAAGGAGATACCGGTCAGCGATATGTTCCGTTACTTGGGCTCCATAATTCAGAAGGACGGTGAGTTAGATGGAGATGTATCCCATAGAATCAGAACAGGGTGGATGAAGTGGAAGAGTGCGTCAGGATTTCTATGCGACCGAGGTATGCCGACTAGACTGAAGGGTAAATTTTATAGGACAGCAATTAGGCCTGCATTACTGTATGGCGTAGAGTGTTGGGCGGTGAAACAATGTCACATTCATAAGATGAGTGTGACAGAGATGCGCATGCTGCGTTGGATGTGTGGGCATACTAGGAAGGACCGCGTGAGGAATGAGACAATCAGACAAAGGGTGGGAGTAGCACCTATTGAAGACAAGATGCGGGAGTCGCGTCTACGGTGGTTTGGTCATGTGCGTAGAAGACCGAGTGATGCACCTGTTAGGCGAGTTGAGATGTGTGGACAAGAGGCAGGGAAGAGAGGGAGAGGAAGACCCAAACAGACGTGGGTTAGGGGAGTTCGAAGTGATATGCTTTTTCTGGGGTTGGATGAGGGCATGACTTTGGAGAGAACTAAGTGGAGGGCGGGTATTCACGTGAAGGAGTGATCTTGATAATTTTTTTCCCTCATCTTTTTTTTTTTTTTTTTTCGTAGTTTTTTTTATCCTTATATATATATATATATATATTTATAAGCATTATTTGCAACCTTTTTATTTTATCATTTATATATATATATTCATCTTTTTTATATTATCTTTTCATAATAGCTTATCTTTTTATCTTTATTCCTTCTTTTCCTTTTGGTTGTGATATCATGTATCGATTCATGTTAGCCGACCCCAATATCTTTTGGGACTAAGGCTTGGATGTTGTTGTATTGAAATTCAAAGAGTGCATCCTTACATGATTTTTACTGCATATTGATGTTCAAAGTGTTGCATATTATTGAGTTTGTAGGTTAGTAAGTTAAGCATGGTTTGTATGTGATCTCACAAAGCCGCATAGTGTTCCCTACATATATATACGTGTATATATATAGAGAGAGAGTAATATTTTGGTCCGTCTGGACTGACCAAAACCGCAGTGCGCCCAAACCCGTTTGAGGGCCTTCCGGGTTGAATTTTATGATGAATTTTTGTGAGCATGTTCTTCATGAAGTGTAGAACATTGACACAAAATTTCATCAAAAAATCAATCGGCAAGTCAGTTAAATAAATTGTTGAAAAACGCTGCGCAAAAATATGCATAAAAAACGCAATGTTTTTCAACAATTTATTTAATTGACTTCCCGATTGCACTTTTCGATGAAATTTGTGTGAATGTTCTACACTTCATAAAGAATATTCTCACAAAATTTCATCAAAAAATTCGACCTCGAAAGCCCTCAAACGGGCATGGCCGCACGGCAGTTCTGGTCAGTTCGGATTGACCAGAATACTACTATATGTGTGTGTGTGTGTGTGTGGAGAGGGTTCTAATGAGAACCCCTTTTAAAATGAGAACTCCTTTATAAATGAGAACTTTTAATCTCTACCTTTGATATTTCAAATCAAGGACTGGAATCAACAAGGAGCCATTTTTGTAATAATTTTACAATAATTACAAAAAGTACCCCATTTGGATTTTGAATAATTACACAAGGGACCTCATGTGCATCCTACCAATGATTGAATAAAATGAAAGGTTGTGATTAAAAGTTCATATTATAAAGATTCTCGTTTTAAGAGGAGTTATCACTAGAACCCTCCCCTATATATGTGTGTGTGTGTGTCTTTAGTCATGGACAAACTTACAAAGTCAACTGAAGAAGATATATTGTGGTGCATGATGTATGCCGACGATATTGTATTGATTGATGAGACACGATCGGGTGTTAAAGCAAAGTTGGAAGTATGACGACAAACATTAGAGACTATGGGTTTTAGACTGAGCCGAACAAGACTGAATGTTAAATTCAAAGAAAAAGAGAGAAAGATAGAGAGAGAGAGAGAGATACAAAGTCTAAAATTTTCAGAATGACATGAAGCTATAAAATTTTCAGAATGGCATGAAGCTATGAAAACTGAAAATAAAGCTCTTGAAGATAATAATACTTGGATTCTTGTTGATTTACCACTTAATCACCATAGAGTAGGATGTAAATGGCTTTTTAAAACTACGCTAAAATCTGATGGAACTCTTGAAAGATATAAAGCTAGATTAGTTTCAAAAGGTTACATTCAAGAAGAAGGTTTAGATTATTTTGACACTTTATGTCCTGTTATAAAATTAACAACTGTTAGATTACTTCTTGCTATTGGCACTACTAAACATTGAGTTTTACAACAATTAGATATTAACAATGCCTTTTTACATGGAGATTTGCTAGAAACTATGTATATGCAACCTCCACCAGGATATTTACCTCCAGTTCACTTTTCATTTAGCCCATAACCCAGTTCAACATCAAAGAAGTAAACACATTGAAGTAGATTGTCATTTAATTAGAGAGAGAAAAGCAACTGGTTTAATAGATCTTGTTTTAATTAGAAATGATTTTCAACTTGCAGATATTTACATAAAGCTTTGGGAAATCCAATCTTTAGAGAACTCGCAGTCATGCTCATCTGTAGTATCAGGGGGTCAAATTAAAAAAACTCAAGAAGTGGAAGGACCAAACAGCAATTAGTATTTTTATCTTTTATTTGTATTCTGTTTATTAAGACTACCATATGTATCTTTCCAGTCAAGTTTAATTTTCAAGTCATTATTTCATTTTCAGAAGCTTGCAATACCTCTTCTCTTTGTATTCTGTTCTGCTTCTTGATAACATTGATTGTCAGTTCTTAATAAATTCAATACACCACTTTCCTAACAAATTTCAAAGTAGGTGATGGTTTCACTTTTCACTACCATAATGATTTTTGCATTTGTCCTAAAAATAGGCATTTTATCCCCCTTTTCTACAACAGTAAGACCTACAAAGGTTTCACAATATTATATTGCAAACATCTCCTAGTGCAAAACTACAACTATATCCCACTAAACTAGAACTGTATTGTATAAAAAAACAACGTTCTTGATATAATAATTAACTTATACCATTTCTAATTGTGCTTGGTGTCAATGCCTATTCGATGTCACATTAAAGCTCTAGGAGGTGTAAGGACATGGCAATTATTCTCCATCTTGGCAGGGCACTAGACAATCCTTGGTTGTCTGTGTCTTTTCCTATTTGAGCACCACCTAAATCCGTTTAGATCATCTCTACCTGGCACCTAGAACTTTTTACATCTTTGCAGGTAGGGGCAATTTATTTGCACAGTTGGGATGGAAAGGCTCGGTGCTTCTTCAATACTCACCTATCGGATCATATTGCATTACCCCATATGGTTTATTGTCATATATCTACAAAGAATGATATGGATTGTAATTGATGAAAAAAATGTGTGTGTCTCTCATAAATGGCCCGAAAAGATCTATTAGAGGAGAAGTGGAGAACAAATGTGAAAGACTGAAAGCTCCACATATCATTCCGTGTTTCAACAATCTTATTCAAATCAGACAAAAGAAGGGAAATAGCATGTCCAGATGCTTATCTTTCCTTTCCGTGATTGAGGGAACAGGATTGCCATGAGTTCCTAATCTATAGACTGATTTATTTCTAGCAGTTTCTCTGGAGTACTAACTAATTAAACAAACCCTAACAGCTGCAGGCTTCATATGCATAAGTGCATAACTTAAGAAAAGAGAAGGTATGAAAAATCAACTCTGTCTAAACTGTATCATACAGTCATACTTTAGAACAAAACACACATATACCTAACCTAATTTTTTATTAACTAATCAGATAGTACTGGAAAGTTGACAGTTTCAAAATGTATAGAGAACAAAACATAAACTTTGGTACTTTAGATAATAAAAAATCTAAAAATAAATCGGTAAATAAAAGGGGTCAATTATAAGTATTCAATGTGTGAAATATGAAGCTTCAGCCTTCATGTGTATCAAACTGAATAAACAGACACTAACAGTCTAACAGTGCCCATTCTAAGCTAGGACGTGTGATACTTTAGAACAAACTGCACGTTCCAACCCTTATTGAATGATTAAGAGTGTTGTGACACTTAGCAAATGTTGACAATTGTGAGTTATATATAAAATAAAATATCAGAGCAGGTCCGTGACCATCTAAACTCTAAAGCTCTACAAATAAAGTTACTGAATGTATCAAAGTTCAAACTCAGACTAACAACTCCATTTACCGTTAACAGATGAATGGTGGGGTTACTCAAACAGTATAATTAAGCAGGAAATGAATAATAATGGTGCTCCAAAATCTAGTCGATACAATTTGTAAGTGAGATCCGAAGTATTAAATGCATAGTTGAGTAGTAATTTTAAACAAATAAAAAACAGTACCTTTGCTTTGGAAATGATTTTGACGGCTAGAGGAAGGTCCTTCAGCTCTCCTTTCTTGCCACGGGCGTAGCAAGTATGGCCGAAATGCCCCCGCCCCACCTCTTTCCCCAATTCGTACTTGTAACCGAAGTTCCTGTTGTAGCCGAAATTCTTATCCAGAGACTGATCGGGCTCGGAGGCACCATCCTCTGGGATCGGCCCTTCTCTTGGCGTCTTAGCATGTCCAAATCTCCTTGCAAGGGAAGCTTTAATGTGCTTAGCCGGAGAAGGCGGTGGAAACGGCCGCTTGAAGAAACGCCTGGGAGTGGACCTTGCAGGAGATGGAGACACGCCCAGCGGCAAGGGACTGGCTCCCCCCGGTACACTACTCCCGTGCGGGTAAGGACTAGGCCAGGGGCTGGTCGCAGCCGAGGATCTCGCCGGCGTGTTCTTCACAGAGGAAGTGTTGACCCCGCCATAGTCGACGGCGGACGAAGGCGGAGGACTCCGGGACGGCTGATCAGCGTATGATGTAATAGTGGTTGCGCCATCAACATCTCCCGTGGTGGGGATCGTCTTACCGGAACACTGTCCCATTACAGCAGCTCACGGTGCAAACTAATCCCCTTCCCACCCTCCTGCAGTTCAGCGCGTCCGGTCAAACTTTGAAATGCACACACATCTCAGGGCTCAGATAATTCACGGATGAGACATTTAGCAATCGCCACTAGTCTCCCTGAGGTAAAGAGAGAAGAACACATGTTACATGCTCACT